TTGTAAAGCAACAGTGCTCTGCTGACAACTTATGACAACAAAAGGCCAAATACAAATCCAGGACACCCCATAAAATGGAATTCAAGTTTCTCTCTTCTCCATCTGACTCACTCCCTCCTAGTTCCATGCTAGACTGATAAAATGAAGTTTTCAGTGTAGCTTTCACTGTTGAGAGATGTCTGAGAAACAGTTTTTTCTCCTTGAAACAATTTCTTCAAAAAGCACAAAAAAACAAAAAGAATAACTGAACTTTCACAATGAGTAGGTGACTTAGGAGACCAATTATTGCCTCAAAAATTAATGACTGTTCTTGGGCCTTAAACCTGTTTTACACGCCTGGAACCAAAAGGACTAAGTCTAAATAAGTGACCAAGACCAGTATTAGCATAATATTTTATTCTGCTAATAATGATGCTATTCTGCTTCCTGCAGGGCAATGTAGGTTAGGATTAATGGAGAAAAAAAAACATATAGTCCAAGATTTTACAACTGTGGTTATACAGAAAATAAAAGCATTTTTCCCACTTTGCAATTTTGTACCTAATAAAGCAAGTCACTTCTTCCTGTTATATCCAGCTAAATTGCAGGTTCTTTGGAATGGAGGAACCAAAATATTTGATAATCCTGCTTCTGCTTGGAACATCTTCATCTAAAAGTTGACCACTATATAGAGCCATATTTCTACTTTTACAAATGTTTGTGTAATTTTTGCCCCAAATTATAAGAAAGATTTCTTTGTTCTTTGAATTTTCTCTTTTACAGGTGTTTTTATACTGATTTCCTCCATGGTTCGTATCTTGTTTCTGCTCCTTTTGTTTGAATGCAGCAGAAGATCCTAAAATATAAAACAAGGTTATTGTTCCTTCATACTATAAATGTGACATAAATTAGCTTGTACTGCTGTTATTATAATACCTTTGTTTGCTTGCTACAGCTCAAGAAGAGGCCAGCCGCTACACCATTATCATCAGAACTTAATTTGGTGGGATACAGAAGTGAGATGGGACAGCAAATCCTACCTCAGAGTTACTATTTCATTTATTGGTGTGCTTTCCTGTCCCACCATGGCATCCGCAGAACCCTCACACTTTATTATGCCTAATGAATCTAACACTGATCTCTCTGAGATGACCTCAACAGTCTACAAAAGAGGAAAAGATTCTTCTCCCTCTCAAAGACTAGTATTGGGCAGGAAATGTACTGGAAAGATACAAATAACTGCACCTAAACAATCTTGATTTACACCCTTCTTTATATAGAAATTGACCCTGTGGAGGAGATTTACCAAAACTGCTACAAACAGCATCTGGTGTGGTTGTGCAAAAGTAACCAATCAGTAACCAATCAGCTTCTATTGGCAAAGTTTAATTGAAGAAGCTGAAGTTACAAGATGATTGGCTACTATGCAGAGCTGCACCAGATTCTGTGAGCACCACTTTTAGTAAATCTCCCCCATTGTGTGTAAAGTGTATGCATTGATCATATTGAAAATTACAGCCACAACTTACTCCCACTGTATAGTTTATGCCCCCAACACTAACACATTCCGATTTTTCGTACAGCTAATTTTTGAGATGGGACCACCCTGATGTTAATTCCACAATGTTCCTTTCTCTATTGTCATATGTCTTCCATGTCCGTGGGGGGCTTAAAGTATGTATATACTATACCCTTGTGAACGTCACTCCCTAACATATATTATATCATGCAGACATTTCTTCTAATGTTAAAGCTTTCAAACCTTACATTTTATCCAGGTTTTTCACAGATTCACACAGACAAGAAGGCGCACAGCCTATGAATAACTGAGCCTCAACCATCATAATTTGGAACTATATTATATAGCCATCACCAGGTACCTTTTGTGACTGGATTCATGGCACTGATTCTGACCTGAACCAAAAATATTTGCATCAAACTGAAAAGAAAAAGAAACTTTTGCCCTCAGTGGTTATCCCTAATCCCCTTCTTTTTTTGGTGGATTTCCTAGCACGGTATTGGATACATATCACTTAAATAGTCACTCTTCTTTCCTGTTTCCCTTTCAAGGCAACCCAAGCTTTTTCCCTGCACCCAGAAATACCATAGCACTTGCACTTCATGACTTTTAGTGCTGCTGACTCTGCTCTCTCAGTGCTGCTTCTCTGAACTTCCAGTCTTCACAAGAAATATATTACAGTGGACAGTGGACCCTTGAGCCAGTTTGTTACCTTAGGAAGGACAATAGGTTAGGGTGGAGCAAGGGAATGCCTTGCTATTCTAACTATGAGGCTGTGTGTTTATATTGATACATACAATGTAGGTAAACACAACTCAAATCCCTTTATGCAAAAGGATGCATCAAGACAAGGAGGCTACACTGAAACAGGAAATCTGGTGCAGTGCTCATTGCACCAGCTTTAACTGAAATGTATAAAATGATTAAAAGACAAAGCTGCATTCTCAGTAAGTGCTTACCAAGTGATTAAAATGGTATTAAAGATTCAGCTTTTTAAAAAAAAAAAAAAAAAAAAAAACCCAAACAGGTTATACTTACCTGCTCTGTGCAGTGGTTTTGCACAGTGCAGCCCCAATCCTCTTCTTTTTGGTTCCCCCAACAGCGCTCCTGGCTCCTCCTCCTTGACCAGTGCCCCCAGTAGCAAGGTGTTTGCTATGGGGGGCACTGGTGGTTGCGTGCTTTGTATCCTTAAGACTTTTAGAGCCACGACCTGCCCCGCCCCCACTCTCTCCTCATTGGCTCAATGGCTGTGATTGAAAGCACTGGGAGCCAATGGCTCTCTCTGCTGTTTCAGCCAATGAGGAGAGGGAGCCCTGGAAAATCTTAGGCTCTCGTGTACATTGCTGTATCGAGAGGGGAATCAGGTAAGTTTTGGGGGGCTTTGGGGGGAGCTGCACACTGAACTTTTTTCACCTTCATGCATAGAATTCATGAAGGTAAAAAACATTCTGCCTTTACAACCACTTTAAGAACTGGTGAAGGGCTTTCCAATAAAAGTGATTGGGTGGCTATATAGAGATGCCAGATCACTTGTACGGGGCTCTCTAAATGATGACCCCACTGACAGCAGCACTGGCAGCACCCATGGTGGTTCCCAGGCTCCCCCTTTACACCACAGTGACAGGAACCATGGGAAGCTTATTTTCTGGTAAAAGAAGGAGCTATGTGCATTACATCACTTCTGGGGTCACAGCTGTCATTTCTCAGTAATTATTCCTGTATTTGAATAGTTGCATTGGAGTGCGGAAAAGACATTGGGGTCTATTAGACCCCCATTGCCTCTATAAAGAATACCTGTCACCTGCCCATACTATCACATGGGGGTTTCTTGTAAAGGCAATAAAAAAAAAAAGAATAAAAAAGTGCAAATAAAAGAATTGTATAAAATAAATAAAACCAGCTAAAAAAATGAAATCACCCCCATCACCTTGCATACATGCCATATAAAAAGAACAGCATAGTTCAAGTATGTGTATGTAACATCAATTGCACCAACACATGTGATGTACCATCGAGAAAGTTGGAGTGAGAGAAATCATTTTAGGGCCACGGTATATGGTTAGTTCTCTGCAGGATTCTGAATCAGAACAGTTTGGAACATATATATACAACTTCCACACAAACATGATAAACAGTTATACCACCCCACACTGCTGCTTGCCAACATAATGCCAAATTTCTCCATCCATTTAAAAAAAACATAATCTTGCTTCATATGTGGTAAGTTCATAAATGGTGCACAACTTTTACTCTTAAAGCTGAATTTTGGGGACAAGCAAATATTGTCCTAATACAACATGCATGTATATTTTTAAGTAAACCTTGGTGTTCTTTGTGTATTTCTTTCAGGTCTGTGCAGTAATCCAACATAAAACATTGCTTTTGTTCAGGAGCTTCCTATAATAAAGACACGCCACTGTTGTTCTATCTCCTTGTGCAGGAAGATTGGTCTTGTATCCACCTCTAGTTTTCTTCTGGCAGTCTATTGTGGGTGGACCTGCTAGGTCCTTCCCATAGCTCTGCTGTCTGCAGAGGTTATGGGCATAAAAATGATGGCACTACCACTTTTACAAGATAAAAGCTGTGCTCATAAAGACATCTGGTGTGCACAAAGTGGATTTAAATCCTTTACAGCTATTGAACAATATATTCAAATGTGTTTAGGAGTTCAGCCTTAACCACTTTCCCACCACCCTATAGCAGATATACTGCTTACAGGGTGGCAGGGATGCGCAAAATCACACACACACATATGCCATGTGTGCTGCTATTCGTGACCTCGGCTGTCAATCATTGGCTCCCGGTTGATGATTACTCTCCGGCACCCGGTGATCGCCAAGTATTATTGAGGGGGGAGAGAACTGTATGTAAACAATACAGTTATCTCCCCTGTCAGCTCCTGCACACTGCTTTGTATGGCTCTGCATAGCAGTGCCATACAAAGCAGTGTGCTTACAGTTGAAAGCACAGTCACAGCTTATAGTAAAACAGCACACAGTTAACCCTTTGATCACCCCACATGTTAACCCCTTCCTGCCCAGTGCCATTAGTACATTTTTATTAGCACTGATCACTGTATTGGTGTCACTGGGGATGTCAGTGACACCAAGTAATTTCCCCCTAGCGTCAGAATGTCCACCGCAGTCCCGCGGTCACGCTATAAGTCTCTGATCGTCGCCAATACTAGTAGAAAAAAAATAAAAATTGCAGTATATATACCGCCATTTGCAAACGCTATGATTTTCACTGAAACCAATTAATTTACACATGTTGGGATTTTTTTTTGCAAAGAGATGTAGCTGAATATATTTTGGCCTACATTTATGAGGAAATTAGATTTTTTAATTTTTTTTTACTGGACATGTTTAACCACCTTCCGCCTGCCCTATAGTACAATGACGGGCGCAAGGTGGTTCTCTCGTTCTGATAGGACATCATATGACGTCCTACCATTCTCACTGCGCAGCTCAGGGAGCGCGCAGCACGGCGATCGCCGGTGCGCTGTGTCCCTCGGACACAGCGGATCACGGAAAGAGCCAAAGATGTCGGCTCGGTCATGTGATCAGCTGTATCCAATCACAGCTGATCACATGTAAACACGGAAATGCTGGTTATCTGCATTTCTCTCCTCTTGAGCTGTCACGCTGACAGCTCAAGAGGAGAGGAGAGCCGGTAATCGGCTTTCCGTGGAGGGGACATGTACACTGATCATCAGGGCACTGATGATCAGTGTGCCCTGATGATCAGTGTGGCCCCAGAAGTGCCACCTGTCAGTGCTTATCAGTGCCAGTGCCCATTAGTGCCACATCAATGCCACATATCAGTGCCCATCTGAGCTGCCTTTCAATGTCACCCATCAGTGCCAATCAGTGCCACCTATCAATGCCTATCAGTGCTGCCAATCAGTGCCACCTATCAGTGCCAATCAGTGTCACCTATCAGTGCGCATCAGTGCCGCCAATCAGTGCCAGTCAGTGCCACCTATCAGTGCTAATCAGTGCCACCTAACAGTGCCAGTCAGTGCCACCTATCAGTGCCAGTCAGTGCCGCCTATCAGTGCCAGTCAGTGCCGCCTATCAGTGTCATGTATCAGTGTCATGTATCAGTGCTGCCTTTCAGTGCCCATCAGTGATGCCTGTCAATGCCCATCAGTGCAACCTACCAGTGCCTCCTCATCAGTGCCACCTATCAGTGTCCATCACTGCAGTCTATCAGTGCCCATCAGTGCAGCCTCATTAGCGCACATCAGTGAAGGAGAAAAATCATTTATTTACAAAATTTTATAACAAAAACTAAGAAAAAATGTTTTTTTTTTTTCAAAATTTTCAGTGGTTTTTGGTTTGTTTAAGAAAAAATAAAAATCCCAGAGGTGATTAAATACCACCAAAAGAAAATTCTATCTGTCTCAAAAAAATGATAAAAATTTCATATGGGTACAGTGTTGCATGACCGCGCAATTGTCATTCAAAATGTGACAGCGCTGAAAGCTGGAAATTGGCCTGGGCAGGAAGGGGGTATAAGTGCCCTGTAGGTTAGTGGTTAATAGCAAAAAGTTAAAAATATTCTTTTTTTTCTGAAAATTGTTGGTCTTTTCGCAAAAAATAAAAAACACACAGGTGATCAAATACCACCAAAAGAAAGCTCTATTCATGGGAGAAAAAGAACATACATTTCATTTGGGTGCAGCATTGCATGACTGCGCAATTGTCAGTTAAAGTAACGCAGCGCCGTTACTCAAAAAATGGACTGGTCAGGAAGGGGGGTAAATCCTCTGAAGGGCAAGTCATTAATGCAACACTTAAAACGGTTCTTTCAGAATGATAGGTTAAGAAAAAAGCAAAGACCTGAACATATCCCAATAGTTATTTTACTAGTATGATCAAACAATTTAGATGTTACAATGTGGCATTATTATTGTATAACATGACCACTAAGTGAAAAACCATTTGATAGGCTATAGTTATATGATGCTTGAAATCAGACTGTGCTGAAGTAAATAATTGAATGCATTCTGCCTGTTGAGTCAAATTCTGCTGCATTTTAAAAAGTAAGTTTCTTAAATTACTGATGTGCAGTTTACAGCCCAAACATTAGTTTGGATCTTGTGTCTAATATAGAAAAAGGAAAGTTACAAAATTATAATATTAATATTTTTGTTTGTTAAAAATAAAAACAAAAATGTGCCAGGAATTTGCAGTAGATAATATGAAGGTCAACTTTGCAGAACATAACCACATGCGACCAAGCTGTTCACAAATTTAATATGTAAGTTGTTTGAACTGCAAAGCCCTGTAGACTAAAAAAAAGTAAATATGGTTCACTTCTTAATCAGCATGGGCCATCTGTACTCATAACAATTTTACATTTAATCAAAGTAACTCTTTGTTTGCTAAACGACTAAATATAATTGTATCTGCATTTTATTTAAAAAAAAAAAAGTATGCGGGTTTACAAATCTTTCAGAGTTTTTCTGCTTTGTTTTGGATTCCATCATAGGAAACTTTCCTAAGGATTCATAACAGCCAAAATGTATAACATTCCAAAGCTAAAGTGACCCTGTCATTAGATGTAGGGTTCATGTCAATGGACATTCTTGTCAAATACCATGTTTATTATTGAAAAAGGCATACATTTAAGTGGAAAATGCAGTGTTTCACAAGGAAAGGCTACATTTGTTCTGCATCGCATCCAAAGAAATGCTGCGAAACACAAAGCAGATCAAACTCAACCCCTGAGCATCCATGTGTCTTGCTCAATTCAAATCAGTTGCATTATGCAGACCAGCATTTCTTATGTGTTCCAAAAGTATGTCAAACGCAGGAAATGAATGCACATTGACATGAGTCCTAAATATGTAAATATCTCCCTTGCGAAGTAAAGAATTGGTACTTACCTCTTCTAATGCCGTACCACCAAGTTTTGCTATGCTGCTAATGTATCCTCATTATCCAGCATGCCTTTGGGTGTGTTGGATGTCCAACCTGTTGCTATGCATAAAGGATAAGTTCACCGTTCAACAAAAATTAATAAATGCACATTTTTTTGCAGGTTTTTGGGAGCCTGTAAAGCATTGCACCAGCGATCAGAATATGCCATGCAGGTCTACTCTGTACGTGGAACCTGATACTTACTGACAGGAAGACTCAATGAACTACCACAGCACATACTGAGAACTACAAGCTGACAACTGAAAGGTTTTTCTCATTCTCATTTTTTAAATTGTGAGAGCTAGCGGGGGGGATAAAATCCCCCTGCTGGCTGTCACAATGGGGGATTGGGGGGGTGGGGGTGGGGGTGCGGGGGTCAGTCCATTCATAACACCTCTTAGATTGTAAGCTCCAAGGAGCAGGGCCCTCCTAACCCTCTTGTATTGAACTGTATTGTTGCTGTATTGTCTCCCGTTATATTGTAAAGCGCTGAGCAAACTGTTGGCACCATATAAATCCTGTAAAATAATAATAATAATACCGTATTTTCCGGCGTATAAGACGACTTTTTACCCCTTGAAAATCTTCTCAAAAGTCGGGGGTCGTCTTATACGCCGGTATACGGCATGCTGACACTTTTAAGGGGGGCGGCACGGTGCCGCCGCTGCCCCCCCCCTTCCAACGGAAGGGACACTAAGTACAGGGGTGGGCAGGGGCTGCTGTTTCTTACCTGGCTCCGGTCCCACAACGATCCGGTCCAGGAAGCGCAGCTGCTCCTTCATTCAGTTCATCCACTGGATGTTTGCGCGGCTGCTAGGCTCCGCCTCCTCACCGGTGATTGGCCGCCAGAACGGTAGCTCAGGAAAGGCACACAGGCGGCCAATCACCGGCGAGGAGGCGGAGCCGAGCGGCCCCTTGAAATTCGAGTGAAGGAGCGGCCGGTAAGTGTGCCGTGCAGAGGTGCTGCTGCAACCACATATGCTGGCTGCAGCAGCACCATACTGGAACAGGGGTCAGCAAGTGTCATTGGTGTCAGTGGGAGGAATAGTGCCCCATCATTGGTGTCACTGATACCAATGATGGGGCATTATTCCTCCCACTGACACCAACGATGGGGCACTTTTCCTCCCCCCCCACTGACACCAACGATGGGGCACTATTCCTCCCCCCCACTGACACCAATGATGTGGCACTATTCCACCCCCCACTGACACCAATGATGGGATACTATTCCTCCGACTGACACCAATGTTGGGACACTATTCCTCCCACTGATACCAATGTTGGGACACTATTCCTCCCACTGACACCAATGTTGGGACACTATTCCTCCCACTGACACCAATGTTGGGACACTATTCCTCCCACTGACACCAATGATGGGGCACGATTCCTCCCACTGACATCAATGATGGGGCACTATTCCTCCCACTGATACCAATGATGGGGCACTATTCCTCCCACTGATAACAATGATGGGGCACTATTCCTCCCACTGATACCAATGATGGAGCACTATTCCTCCCACTGACACCAATGATGGGACACTATTCCTCCCACTGACACCAATGTTGGGGACACTATTCCTCCCACTGACACCAATGATGGGGCACGATTCCTCCCACTGACACCAAAGATGGGGCACTATTCCCTCCACTGATCATAATTAATGATGGGGTACTATTCCTGCCACTGATACCAATGATGGGGCATGATTCCTCCCACTGACACCAATGATGGGGCGTTATTCCTCCCACTGACACCAATGATGGGGTGCTATTCCTCCCACTGACACCAATGATGGAGCACTATTCCTCCCACTGACACCAATGATGGGACACTATTCCTCCCACTGACACCAATGTTGGGACACTATTCCTCCCACTGACACCAATGATGGGGCACGATTCCTCCCACTGACACCAAAGATGGGGCACTATTCCCTCCACTGATCATATTTAATGATGGGGTACTATTCCTGCCACTGATACCAATGATGGGGCACGATTCCTTCCACTGACACCAATGATGGGGCACTATTCCTCCCACTGATAACAATGATGGGGCACTATTCCTCCCACTGATACCAATGATGGAGCACTATTCCTCCCACTGACACCAATGATGGGACACTATTCCTCCCACTGACACCAATGTTGGGACACTATTCCTCCACTGACACAATGATGGGGCACGATTCCTCCCACTGACACCAAAGATGGGGCACTATTCCCTCCACTGATCATAATTAATGATGGGGTACTATTCTGCCACTGATACCAATGATGGGGCACGATTCCTCCACTGACACCAATGATGGGGCGTTATTCCTCCCACTGACACCAATGATGGGGTGCTATTCCTCCCACTGACACCAATGATGGGGCACGATTCGTCGCTCTGACATTAATGATGGGGCACTATTCCTCCACTGACACCAATGATGGGGCACTATTCCTCCCACTAATACCAATGATGGGACACTATATTCCTCCCACTGACACCAATGATGGGGCATGATTCTTCCCACTGGTGTGTGCATTGGAAGAGGGGTAGTCTTATACGGCGAGTATAGCCCAAACACCAAATTTTAACAGGAAAAGTAGGGGGTCGTCTTATACGCCCAGTCGTCTTATACGCTGGAAAATACGGTAATAATAATAATGTTACATCCAGACTATGGGTAACATGTTGCAAAAGGTGACCTTATCCTTTAATGGTTTCATACATTAGGCCCTAGTTCCCTTTAGTGTCCTGGAGAAACTACGACTGGTAAGAGGATCTACAGCATGCAACCGAGGACCAGGAGTCCAGCACACCTGAATGATAGGATTCTGAAGATTTCAAACAGTCATATCTCTGCAATACAGTTATGATTGGTGACATGGGAGGTGGGAGAGGTAAGTAAACTCTTTTCATTGCAAGAGGCGCGTTTCCACATTTATTCTAGTAACAGGGTCATGATAATGCAATAAGTCTACACTGGAAAACATTACATACAGTCAGATCCATAAATATTGGGACATCGACACAATTCTAAACATTTTTGGCTCTATACACCACCACAATGGATTTGAAATGAAACAAACAAGATGTGCTATAACTGCAGACTGTCAGCTTTAATTTGAGGGTATTTACATTCAAATCAGTGGTGAACGGTGTAGGAATTACAACAGTTTGCATATGTGCCTCCCACTTATTAAGGGACCAAAAGTAATGGGACAATTGGCTTCTCAGCCGTTCCATGGCCAGGTGTGTGTTATTTCCTCATTATCCCAATTACAATGAGCAGATAAAAGGTCCAGAGTTCATTTCAAGTGTGCTATTTGCATTTGGAATCTGTTGCTGTCAACTCTCAAGATGAGATCCAAAGAACTGTCACTATCAGTGAAGAAAGCCATCATTAGGCTGAAAAAACAAAACAAACCCATCAGAGAGATAGCAAAAACATTAGGCGTGGCCAAAACAACTGTTTGGAACATTCTTAAAAAGAAGGAACGCACCGGTGAGCTCAGCAACACCAAAGACCCGGAAAGACCACAGAAAACAACTGTGGTGGATGAGCGAAGAATTCTTTCCCTGGGGTGAAGAAAACACCCTTCACAACAGTTGGCCAGATCAAGAACACTCTCCAGGAGGTAGGTGTATGTGTGTCAAAGTCACCAATCAAGAGAAGACTTCACCAGAGTGAATACAGAGGGTTCACCACAAGATGGAAACCTTTGGTGAGCCTCAAAAACAGGAAGGCCAGATTAGAGTTTGCCAAACGACATCTAAAAAAGCCTTCACAGTTCTGGAACAACATCTATGGACAGATGAGACCGAGATCAACTTGTACCAGAGTGATGGGAAGAGAAGAGTATGGAGAAGGAACTGCTCATGATCCGTCGCATACCACCTCATCAGTGAAGCATGGTGGTGGTAGTGTCATGGCGTGGGCATGTATGGCTGCCAATGGAACTGGTTCTCTTGTATTTATTGATGATGTGACTGCTGACAAAAGCAGCAGGATGAATTCTGAAGTGTTTCGGGCAATATTATCTGCTCATATTCAGCCAAATGCTTCAGAACTCATTGGACACCGCTTCACAGTGCAGATGGACAATGACCCAAAGCATACTGCAAAAGCAACCAAAGAGTTTTTTAAAGGGAAAGAAGTGGAATGTTATGCAATGGCCAAGTCAATCACCTGACCTGAATCCGATTGAGCATGCATTTCACTTGCTGAAGACAAAAACTGAAGGGAAAATGCCCCAAGAACAAGCAGGAACTGAAGACAGTTGCAGTAGAGGCCTGGCAGAGCATCACCACAGGATGAAACCCAGCGTCTGGTGATGTCTATGCGTTCCACACTTCAGGCTGTAATTGACTGCAAAGGATTTGCAACCAAGTATTAAAAAAGTGAAAGTTTGATTTATGATTATTATTCTGTCCCATTACTTTTGGTTCCTTAATAAGTGGGAGGCACATATGCAAACTGTTGTAATTCCTACACCGTTCACCTGATTTGGATGTAAATACCCTCAAATTAAAGCTGACAGTCTGCAGTTAAAGCACATCTTGTTCGTTTCATTTCAAATACATTGTGGTGGTGTATAGAGCCAAAAATGTTTAGAATTGTGTAGATGTCCCAATATTTATGGACCTGACTGTATATAACCACAATGTTCTCTTAGAAAAGAGAAATCTTTCTATAAAAATAGCTAACTGTTTAAAGGGAACCCCAAACCTTTCAAAGTCATGCATACATGAGAAATAATGAAGAGCTATGTGTATTTATTATTCCTCCATATTAGAGTAGCCCCAATGAACCTAAAAAGAGTAGGCACAATTATTCTGACTGACTTGTTTATGGCTAACTATACACTATACAATATTTTTTAGATCTACCAGCAACTATATAGTATAAGGGTCTGCCTGATTTGATACTATGTTAACAGATTTTTTAGGTTTGTCCTCCATAGTTTTGGTAAATCTACAGTACAGTACAGTACAAAATTGTACAATCAGGTTGTAAAGTGTATGGCCACCTAAAGAGATCAGCTCATTTGTATATTAGTAGCCTTGTCATGTAAACATGTTAATAGAGTAGAAAAGAGCTAATCTGTTTGTGACTCCATTGATAATTTTTCCCTCACTTCTTGTATCTTGGTGCTCATACAACTAATGTCCTTTTTGGAGAGGTGCATCATCACATCTTGGAAATCTTGCAAATAGGGACACAGGCAGTGATAAAAACCTAAGATGCTCTCACCTTTCTGTGCTTTATCAAAAATTAAATAAAAAAGTTTTGTCTGGAGTTGCGCTTTAACAGTATCAATAACCATATTAAAGATTGCAGTTTTCTAAGTACTATTCCAAGTTGGTAATGCTATCCTGAAAATAAAGCAACTGTGTTAATTAGAGATGAGCGAATCGAACCAGGCGAAGTGGAATTCGTTTCGAATATCGGGAAAAATTAGATTCGCATCGAATCCGAATTTTAGCCAACTTCGGGTGCACGAATCGAATTTTTCCGATCAGCCGGCAAAAGTGTCACTGCAGAGAGCTCCGCTATTTCTGACAGTTCTGACAGTTCATTTACAGCGGTTGAAACATTGTATCTATTTGTTTCCATTTAGGATACAGATGTTTTTATTATCGGAAATAAATAGATACAATGTTTCAACCGCTGTAAATGAACTGTCAGAACTGTCAGAGAACTGTCAGAAATAGCGGAGCTCTCTGCAGGTACACTTTTTGCTGTACTGGAATACTTCTTCTTTTCATTCTTCTTCTTTTTTTCATTCTTCTTCTTCTTCTTTTCATTCTTATTTTCATTCTTCTTCTTCTTCTTTTCATTCTTCTTTTCATTCTTCTTCTTCTTCTTCTTTTCATTCTTCTTCTTCTTTTCATTCTTCTTTTCATTCTTCTTCTTCTTTTCATTCTTCTTCTTCTTCTTCTTTTCTTCATTCTTCTTTTCATTCTTCTTTTCTTCTTCTTTTCTTCTTCTTTTTTTTTCATTCTTCTTCTTCTTTTCATTCTTCTTCTTTTCATTCTTCTTTTCATTCTTCTTCTTCTTCTTTTCATTCTCCTTCTTCTTCTTTTCATTCTTCTTCTTCTTTTCATTCTTCTTTTCATTCTTCTTCTTCTTTTCATTCTTCTTCTTCTTCTTTTCATTCTTCTTTTCATTCTTCTTCTTCTTTCTTTTCATTCTTCTTTTCATTCTTTTCATTCTTCTTTTCATTCTTCTTCTTCTTCTTTTCATTCTTCTTCTTCTTCTTTTCATTCTTCTTTTCATTCTTCTTCTTCTTCTGGCAACTCCACCACGCAGCTCATTTTTGTTCCAGTATTACTGTATTTTGCTCCTTCAAAATCCTGAAACTTTCTTTTGGCAGGTGTACAGACTCAGGTACTCAGTGCAGGAATGGTGGGAATCCCTCACAATGGACACAGCAGGTGTACATACAGACCCAGGAATTCAGCACAGGGATGGTGGGAACCCCTCATAATGGGCACAGCAGGTGTGCATACCCAGAACCTCAGCACAGGGATGGTGGGAACCCCTAGTAATGGGTGCAGCAGGTGTGCAGACCTGGGACCTCAGCACAGGGATGGTAGAAACCCCTCATAATGGGAACAGCAGGTGTACAGACCCAGGAATTTAGCACAGGGATGGTGGGAAACTCCTCCTAATGGGCAGAGCAGGTGTACAGACCCAGGAACTCAGCACAGGGATGGTGGGAACTTCTCATAATGGGCGCAGCAGGTGTGCAGACCTGGAACCTCAGCACAGGGATGGTGGGAACCCCTCATAATGGGCACAGCAGGTGTGCATACCCAGAACCTCAGCACAGGGATGGTGGGAACCCCTAGTAATGGGCGCAGCAGGTGTGCAGACCTGGGACCTCAGCACAGGGATGGTAGAAACCCCTCATAATGGGAACAGCAGGTGTACAGACCCAGGAATTTAGCACAGGGATGGTGGGAACTCCTCCTAATGGGCAGAGCAGGTGTACAGACCCAGGAACTCAGCACAGGGATGGTGGGAACTTCTCATAATGGGCGCAGCAGGTGTGCAGACCTGGAACCTCAGCACAGGGATGGTGGGAACCCCTCATAATGGGCACAGCAGGTGTGCATACCCAGAACCTCAGCACAGGGATGGTGGGAACCCCTCATAATGGGCACAGCAGGTGTTAGGGGGTTTAACTCTCCAGCATCCATTAGAGACTGATATAGTAATATAGTTCATTCTTCTTTTCATTCTTCTTCTTCTTCTTTTCATTCTTCTTCTTCTTTTCATTCTTCTTCTTCTTCTTTTTCATTCTTCTTCTTTTCATTCTTCTTCTTTTCATTCTTCTTCTTTTTTTCATTCTTCTTCTTCTTCTTTTCATTCTTCTCATTCTTCTTTTCATTCTTCTCATTCTTCTTCTCATTCTTCTTTTCATTCTTCTTCTCATTCTTCTTTTCATTCTTCTTCTTCTTTTTCATTCTTCTTTTCATTCTTCTTCATTCTTTCTTCTTTCTTTCTTCTTCTTCTTCATTCTTTTCATTCTTCTTCTTTTCATTCTTCTTCTTCTTCTTTTCATTCTTCTTTTCATTCTTCTTCTTCTTCTTCTTTTCATTATTCTTCTTCTTCTTTTCATTCTTCTTTTCATTCTTCTTCTTCTTCTTTTCATTCTTCTTCTTCTTCTTTTCATTCTACTTCTTCTTTTTTCATTCTTCTTTTCATTCTTCTTCTTCTTCTTTTCATTCTTCTTCTTCTTTTCATTCTTCTTCTTCTTCTTCGTCGTGCCCCGTGACTGCCCAAATGAGTGAAGTGTGCGGTGATTCTAAGATCGACGGCACTCATCTGCATGTCATACTGACTGACAGTATTATTTCTCTTCCCCAGCAGACTCCAAGGGCATTTAAATTAAAGGTACAGTGTTCTGCACTAATATAAAGGCTCTCTGAAGCCTAGAAACCCTTTAAATAAGTTAAATTTGCGGCGATTAAATTCGCATCGAATCGAATTTCTCCCGCAAATTCGGCGAATCAGCCGAATCGAATTTTTGAATAATTCACTCATCTCTAGTGTTAATCTTTAGGATTTACTTTAGGGTTTGTGTATTTTCACAGGCATTCATTATTATCACCTGTCTAGTAACACATGAAATCAATAACGGATCATTCACAATGGCCTGGTGAAAAACACAGTATGTGTTTTTAGTAAAATGCATATCACATTTTTAACATGTTATTAATGCTTTGATTTGAAATTTAATGCAATGCATATGCATTTTAGATGCAATTTTGCATGCATTTTTCAATGCAATTGCATTTCTGGTCAATGGTTGTTAGCAGGTTTTACCCAGAGGTGTCCTAACAACCAGTAACTCTTCCCTGGTGTTGACAGTCATTGGATGTTAAGGAGCTGGTAAACGAGTGAGCTGTCAGTAAAAATTTTTTAAAAATAGCATGGGTGTCTCCCCCAATCCATAACAGGCCTTTAAGTCTGATATGGACTTTAAGGGGGACCCCACTCCTTTTTTTTTTTAAATGGAGTGGGCTCCCCTTAAAATTCCAAAAATGACATGCGGCCCCTCCTATTATATACCAGGCCACATGCCCTCAACATAGGGAAGCAGATTTCCAGGGGGGACCCCACCAGCAAAGCACCTTGTCCCAATGTTTATTGAGAAATAGGGCCTCTTCCCCACAACCCTGGCCTAGTGGCTGTGGGGTCTTTGGTCTTTAACAAAAAAGTTGCACCCAGATCCTCAGACTATAGGGTACATAGTACCTCTACATGTTCACCAAAAATGTCAAATGTATATAGAAACACAAAGACAATTTAATTTTCTTTAAAAAAAACTCCCCCAATGTACATCCATCATCAATCGTGTCATCTATAGATATAGGTCCATGTCAATCACAATGAATGATGGCTGCTGACCCACACAAACAAAAATAAAAAAAGACGACACACACTGACAACCAGACCATCCAGTCTTTTGCCCAGCTCCATTTGGCACTTTATCCCCCCCCCCCCCCCCACTAAATCAAGGTAAACCCACCCCTTATGGCATCATTGACCAAATATAAACATTCCTATAAATGGTCATTGATATCATAAGGGGTTGGGGTCATTCAGTCCCCCCCATGTTGAGGGCATGGGGCCTGGAATGGTTCAGGAGGGGACTGCACACTTGTCCCCTCCCTTTCCTGGTCTGCCAGGCTGCATGCTTGGATAAGGGTATGGATTTTGGGGGAACCAATTCCATTTTTTTAAATTGTATGGTGTGGGGTCCCTCTTAAAATCCATACCAGACTTGAAGAGCCTGCAACGACTTAGAAGGACTCCTACATAATTTTTTTTCACCATGAGCTCATTTGCCTATACTTTTGTCAGCCAGGAATCCCTTGGTTGACAGCAGGGATGAGTCATTGGCTGTTAGGATACCAACAGTACCAAATGGTTAACAACCTACCACAGGTGCTTTTCTTGTTTGTTTTTGGGAGTTTTGGTGTGTTTCTATTGATTTCAATGGGAGGTGCATTTTTTTAAACAGTGTGACAAAGATGCTGCATGCAGAACCTTTCAAAACACCCTGCAAACACAGCACATTGATGTGAACAGTTACAGTACATTGGATTTAAAGGGGAATAATTTCAATGTGCTTCTGTTGTTCTGTAAAGGTGTGTTCTAGCGCAGCAAAAGCACAGCAGTGTGAAAGGGAACTAAGCAGTGACCAGCAGAAATTAGTAAACAGGTTTTATAGAAGAGTACTATCACTAAGTTTATTTGTTGAGTTGGCGAAAATGTATACAGAAGACAATACGGGGCTCAATTTACTAAACTTAAAATAACATACAACTTAAAAAAAAAGCTACTAAAATATTGCATGCTTTCTTTAAATGAGGCACTATTTTAGTATATGGATATGCCAGAAATATCTGGCTGACAGCAAAGGTGAGTCACTGGTTGTTAGGACGTGCCAGCTTCCTAACAACCAGCTATTCATTAAATAGCGTGTGGCTAGACCACAACTTATTTAACACATTTTTTTTTTTTTTTTTTTGTGAAATAACTTTTAAATCAGTTCATGCGGTATTTAGCACGCATTTCTTATTTTTGCTGTAAATGCCACATAAACTGATAGTGAATTGAGATTTTAAATATCACATGACATATTTGAATCAAATGGGTCAAGTGATCCAAACATCGCATGCAATATTCCTTAGGGAATTGGGCCAACTCAGTGGCATAACTGTCCATATAAATCAAGACGTGTGTCTGTTTGTATTTAATCAACAAGCAATAAATAATATATGTATAAGTAATAGGTTATTTAAGTTTAAAAACTGGAAAAGAGGAAAATTAGGGTTTTTTTAAATATATACAGTTGCAAGAAAAAGTATGTGAACCCCTTGGGATTACGTGGAGTTTTGCATGAATTGGGCATAAAATGTGCTCTGAACGTCATCTAAGTCACAACAATAGAAGAACACAGTCTGCTGAACATAATACTACACAAACATTAGATGTTGCCATGGTTTAATTGCACATAATATGTAAACATTCACAGCGCAGGGAGGAAAAAGTATGTGAACCTTTGGACTTAATAACTGGTTGACCCTCCTTTGGCAGCAATAACCTCAACCAAACGTTTCCTGTAGTTGCAGATCAGACCTGCACAATGATCTGGAGTAATTTTGGACCACTCCTCTTCACAAAACTGTTTCAGTGTAGCAATATTCTTGGGATGTCTGGTGTGAATCGCTCTCTTAAGGTCATGCCACAGCATTTCAATCGGGTTGAGGTCAGGACTCTGACTGCGCCACTCCAGAAGGCGTATTCTGTGCTGTTGCAGCCATTGTTTTGTTGAATTACTTGTATGCTTTGGGTCATTGTCCTGTTGCATCACCCATCCTCTGCGGAGCTTCAGTTGGCGGACAGATGGTCGTACGTTTTCCTGCAAAATGTCTTGATAAACTCTGGAATTCATTTTCCCATCAATGACAACAATCTGTCCAGGCCCTGAGGCAGCAAAGCAGCCCTAAACCATGATGCTCCCTCCGCCATGTTTTACAGTGGGGATGAGGTTTTGATGTTGGTGTGCTGTGCCTTTTTTTCTCCACACATAGTGTTGTGTGTTCTTCCCAAACAACTCAATCTTGGTTTCATCTGTCCACAGTATATTTTGCCAGTAGTCCTGTGGAATATCCAGGTGCTCTTTTGCAAACTTCAAACGTGCTGCAATATTCTTTTTGGACAGCAATGGCTTCCTCCGTGGTGTCCTCCCATGTACTCCATTCTTATTTAATGTTTTCCTTATTATAGATGTGTCAACAAAAATGTTAGCATGTGCCAGAGATTTCTGTAGGTCTTTAGCTGACACTCTGGGGTTCTTTTTTACCTCATGCAGCATTCTGCGCTGTGCTCTTGCAGTCATTTTTACAGGACAACCAAGCCTAGGGAGAGTAGCAACAGTGCTAAACTTTCTCCATTTGTAGACAGTCTGTCTTACTGTGGACACATGAACATCAAGGCTTTTGGAGATACTTTTGTAACCCTTTCCAGCTTCATGCAAGTCAACAATTCTTGATCGTAGGTCTTCTGAGAGCTCTTTTCTGTGAGGCATGGTTCACATCAGACAGTGCTTCTTGAAACCAGTAAACCCAAAACAGGTGTGTGTTTTTTAAGCAGGACAGCTGTCAGCAACACATCGATATCATCACACTGATTGGAGTCAAGGTTGGCTCACTCCTGGCTCCAATTAGCTCTGGGAGAAGTCATTAAGCTAGGGGCTCACATACTTTTTCCTCCCTG